CTATCTCCAAAGGGCTGGAGAATGGAAATGATATGGCAAGGGAGAAAAGTTATTATGGATGTTCACTTTTCTCCTAGACAGTCTGGTTCGCACGTATTTTACACGTTACATTGAGAGTTTGGTGAGATTTGTGTTTTGCAGGGCTGGGGACGAAACCCAGGGCTCCACGCATGGTAGGCAAGTGCTGTACCAGTCAGCTCCACCCTTGGGCCTCTGGTGTCTTTCTGAACACATTGGCAAGGTTTTACCTTAATACCCAATTGTGAAGTCCACTTTCATGTGACAGCTAAATTTACTTCCTTATATTTACACCTCAGCCAGTGGAATGAATGCTTCGTTTTTATTTTGATACTTAGAGGTTGCAATTTCTCCTCCTTCCTGTTCTTTAGTACTGGGGATTGAACCCAGGGCCTCCTACAGAGCTACATCCTTAGCCCCCATTTGGGGGCGTACTGAGGATGAACTTGGGCCCTTGTACTTGAGAGGCAGGCGGTGGCACCCCAGACCCTTAGCCCTTTTTATTTTGAGACAAACAAGGTCTCACTAACTCACTACGTTGCCCAGACGGGGCTCAAACTTACCATCCTCCTGCCTCAGCCTCCCAATGCTGAGATTCCAGGTATGCACCATCACACCTGGCCAGTGATTTCTTTTTTACCCACATTAGGCGCTTTGATAGCTCCAAAAGTACATCTATTTTTTTCTTTAGCAAAATCTGACACTCATTCCTCACTATGTGTTTACTCGTGTTTGGAAAGAGAAAGCAGAACTACAGTACTTGGAATCTAGATTATTTAGGAAGCCATTGTTTTCTCACTGAAAAAACCCCTCACCCTTCAAGTGAATGCACTTTGAATACAGAATTTATAAAACAAACGAAGGACTCCAGAGGTGTGAGTTGGCTGTCATGTGTTCAGATGTGGGCACAGTACAAAAGCATAAAACAGCCAGGCGTGGTGACACACGCCTGTAATCCCAGCACTAGGGAGGCTGAGGCAGGAGGTTTGCTGTGAGTTCAAGATCAGCCTGAACTACATAGTGAGTTCCAGGTCAGTTTCAACTACATATTGAGACCCTGTCGCAAAAAACAAAAACAAACAAAAAACAAAATCATAAAAGTCACTCGATGGGCTCACAATGGGCCTCCCCCATACCCAGCAAAGGGTGTGGGGCTGGCAGGCATCGGCTATCTTGCACACCCACTTGGGTCTCAATGTCTGGGTGTCTGTTGGTGGTGGACGGGTTGGGGGTGCCATGTGAGAATGAACACGGGTGCTCCAGCTAAACCAGTCTGTGACTTATTTTATGACCCTTGGAGCGTGCACCTTAAAAATCAGCCCTTTTGGGGCCGGGATGTAGCTCAGTGGTGCCACCGCCTGCCTTGAGTTTGAATTAGCCCTTTTTTTTTTCTGCACTTTGTATTTTTAAAAGAAAGAAGGAACAGTGAAAATATTCCCTTGCACGGATGCACTCTGATCTACGGGCATCACCTTTGAGGTAAAGGTGTTGTCCACAGCTGAGCCTGCACAGGTGACACCAGAGAGACCCACGCGTGGCAGGGTCTAAGCAGGACAGTTCAGAGTCCCGCCAACAGAACAGTCCCAGCTACCAGAGTGAATGCCACTCTTGTCCCGCGTTAAGTATTCTCACGTCTCATCCAATCGCACCACAGCTCTACGAAGTCAGATGTACACCCACTCTTCAGATGAGTTGACCGAGGCTCTGTGAGGCGTGAGCTCTTCTGCCTGGAGCCCCCGCAAAGTGCTGACCTGGGCCTTGTATTCCAGACGAAGATGCATGTCTTTGTGAACCTCACTTCCCTCCACTGATCGGAAACGGGACCTTTACCATCCAACTCCCACTTCTGTCTTTTCAGACGTGTGTGGTGACATCAGTTTGTGCACAGAGGACCCAAGCTGCAGACACCGGGTTACAGGCCCCCGTGACACAGCACCGGGGCTGCTGGTGTGCTTTAGCTGAACCGTCGTCCCTGGGTCAGCCCGGTGCAGGTCAGACCTACAAAGGTCACCTCACGCATCCCAGGGGCGTCCACGTCCTGCCAGCAGCTCTGAAAACCCTGATTTAAGAGGGGGAAAAGGTGGAAGTTTATTTATTTAGTTATTTATTTAGGGTTTTTGACACCATGTAGCCCAGGCCAGCCTCGAACTCATGGTGATTCTCAGCTCAGCCTCCCGATGGCTGAGATTACTGGCGTGGACCACGAGAATGGGTAAAGTTCATTTTTACCAGTTGACGTGAAAGGTAAAATCTGTGTGAGATTACTTTTGAGGAACACCTTCAGTTGCCCACGAAGCACCATTGGATACAGGGCCCACATAAGGTGCAAGATAGGCTAGTTTCTTGTGAAAGTGCTGTACTGATTGCTCGCCTTGTGTGTATGTGGGGAGAGGGTTTTGCCACAGGGATGAAGCCAGGGTCTCCTGCACACCAGGTCAATATTCTTACCACTGAGCCGAATCCCCAGCCTGAGGCCGTGTGTTTTCCCTGGAAAGATAACTAAGGCATGCGAACTCACAGGGCCTGTGCTGGCTTCTGCTTCTCCTTTCTGATCTGTAAAGATGCAGTAAAATGTAGGCATGAGGGTCATTCACCAAAGAGAACCAAGCTGCTCTCCCCCGGGTAACTCTGCCCAGTCACCTTCTCCATGCTGATGGTCTCCTTACGGGGAGAACACTGGTGTAGCCCTGTAACCCCAGCACTCTGGAAGGTAGCAAGAGGATCCCAAATGTGGCCCCAGCCTGGGCAACTTAGTGACTTAGATCCGATATCGAAATTAAAAGGCTCTGGGGCTTGATTCCCCAGTGCTGACTCAAGACTTAACATGAGGCATGATGAGGTCCAACGCTCAAGGCTGGCCGGAGCGAGCAATTTAGCAAAACTGCTGGGGTCTAGCTCAGCTCTACAGCACTCGCCTAGCCTAAGTGAAACCTTTGATTCCATCCCAAACACCACACACACACACATTTTACACAATAAAAGTGTTAACTGTTAATAAATCAGCTATTCCCTGTGTTTTTTGTTTTGTTTCTTTTTCCTGTCTTGGGGATCGCAGCCAGGACCTTGACAATTCGCTACATCCTGAGCCCTTTTTACTTGAGACGGATTCTCACCCAACTGCCCAGGCTGGGCTTGAATTTGTACTCGTCCTGCCTCGGCCTCTCAGAGCATCGAAATTACCAAGCACGCACCACACGGCAGGCCCAGAGATTTCCTAAGCAACACAAGACAAGACAGTGAGATGTCAATGTTTCCTCTCTACCCAGAGCCATGTACCAGTTTAGGATGGGCTGAGGTGGGGCGTAAGAAGTCCTCTGTGACCACAAACAAAAGTTCTCAGAGCCACGTATGGGGGCACACTCCTGTAACTGCCACACTCAGGAGGCTGAGCCAGGAGGATTACAAATCTGAGGACGGCCTGGCCTACACAGCAAGACCTGTCTCAAAAATAAAAAAATCTCTATGAGACCATTTAACAAAAGTTTAGCATGGATGTAACTGATGTTTATCTCTTGGCCACAGTCAGGCAAAGATTTTCAGGTTCAGAGATGAAAAGTGCCTGAAAATCAAACATACAATACACGCTTGGTGGGGGAAAAAACATTCAAAATTTATTTTCCAACAGACGGACAGCATCAGCAGGTACAACTACAGGGGTTCTCCGTAGATCATACATTCACAAGGCATTCTGAGCTTGACAGTGAGAAAGCCACTGGGGTGTTCTCGTAACAGTATACGCTTCACAGTGTAAACAGGTACTATTATTGTGTTCTCTTACAATTCCAGAAGGAAAGGCACAACTTGGCAAAAACACTTTTTTGGATCGTAAAGTCAGGTGCAATAACTAAGCAACAGAACTTGGGAGTAACAAGTCTCGATCCACGTTGCAATCGGGGACTTCGACAGCGGGAAAGACTTCTCTACCAGCAGCCGGGTCTTTTTTCTCCTTCTTAGTTAAATTGCTAGAGCAACGTTTCACCATCTGCTCAGTATTATTACATGCACAAAGGGGGATTTAAAAAAAAAAGGAATCAAAGACATCTTTGAACATCCAGCTATTCCCACCAGTTTAGCAACTCTTAGGGTTAACATGGAGCTTGGAATACTTCAGCGGTCATAAAATAGGAAAATAGAGACTATGGCTACAAAAATAAATGAGGTAGATAAATTAAAGCTTTCACACCCAGGACTTGCCTGTTCCAACTTCATAGCCTTCATGCTATACCCAAGCAGGGGGGGTAAAAGAAATCTTCATTATTTGGCTTATGCGGCACCATTAAAAAACAAAAACAAACATGCGAACTTGTGACGCAAGGTTCAATCTTCCATGAATTTCAAGAATGAAAACACGGCTCGTCAAAGCAGCCGGCACCGGCGAACCCCAAGTCACCGGAGGACTCCGGCTTGGGTGCCCGCCTCTCCTGGTGCCGGGAGGACGAAGGCATCTGTGAAGTGTGGGGCGTAGTTGGCACTCTGGGGGCTCCAGGGGAACTGTATTTAAATAAGCAGCAACACATACACCGGCTCCCTAAGGACTAGAGTCAGTCCACACAAGGGCACCTACTTAAGGTCCTAAGGTTGAAAGGATTCTGTTAATTCTGCAACCTTGTTTTGCTTTTTTAAATTACATTCAACAAAACAAAACAAAAGATGGTAAAAAGGGTTGGGGGAGCCACATCAAGCTGGCCCCTGAATAGCTGGCACATCTGTCCCATTGCCCGCAGTGAGCAGGGAAGTACACCGTACCTCACCCCCACGGGAGGCCGAGTCATCGTCCACCTCACTGTGGTTCAGTAAGTTCCAACTGGCACATTCGACACAGGTGGCAGTCTTTGCAAAGAGTCACTCTAGGTTGTACAAAGCTTTTACATATATAGTTTGTTGCAAGTAATAAAGCTACTTTGCAAGACCCGCTTCCTTCCAAAATTAAAAAAAAAAAAAAACAAAAAAAAAAAACAAAAAAAAACCTAGTCTGTTTTGGTACGAATTTTCTGGTTTTTAAAAAATTTTTTCTTTTCTTTTTTTTTTTTTGCAAAGCAGCACAGCAACAATTGTGATTGTAGGATTGGCCCCAGGTTGGGTCTCAACCGTAAACATCATTTGCATATCAGTAAGAAAACAGCAAGCAGGAGATCACCCTGCATTCCCTTAGCTGACTGCGATCTTGTTCTCTTCCAGGAAGTGAGGGAACTGGTGTTTGGCAACACTGTCAGTAACACCCGGTTTTTCTGCCTCGGCGCTGACCCCAGACTGGGAGCCGTCCATCTTGGAGATGGAGGCGTTACTCACGACGGAGCTGGCCCCCAGGGACACGGGCAGGGTGGGGATCCCGCCGCCCTGGATCACAGAGATCTCGTTGGTCTTCATGGCCAGGCCGCCGTGCAGCATGCTGCTGTACTGGCTCCACACCACTGGGTCCACGCTCACCGAGGGCGACAGGATCTCCTTGGGAAACATTTCCGGCACCCGCTTTCCATCCGTCCCCAGCAGGGCCATGGTGTTCTCGATGGCCAGCTTCCTACCACGGCGGGCAGAGTTGTTGTTAGCCCCGTGGGTCATGTAGTGGACCTGCCAGGAGGGACAGGGAGATTTGGATCAGGTGGAGGAGATGCCACGGATTATCTGCATGAATCTGCAGAGGTGTGGTCCCATCCAAACAGGGTCTTGGCATACATTTGTATTTAGAAATTAGATTATGAAGAAAAAGAAAGAAAGAAAAGAGAAAAATTTCAGGTATCTGGTCCGGGGGAGGGGAAGAAAAATACCGGAGGGCCTAGCACTATGTGCACACCTTTGTGGACACCTGCTCCCTGCTGGTCATTGTCTCAAATATCAGCGCTAATATTTACAGGTACACAAACGTCTTCGGGTAATGGGATAGTGCAGCGCTTCACACACACCTGAGTAGGAGGACAAAGGCGAACACTGAGCAAGACAAAGATTGTACCGATGTCCAATTCCTGATTGTGCTACTCAGCTCCCACTCTTACAAAATGAAAAACCAGGCGAAATATACCAGAAGGTCTCTATTCTCCTTAACATGTATGCATTCATAATTACTTGGATAAAAAATTCATTTGGAGGGTCGGGGCTTTAGCTCAGTGGCTCCACCGCCTGCCTCACAAGCACAAGGTCCCGACTTCAATCCCTGTACCAAAAAAAAAAAAAAAAAAAAAAAAAA